GTCTTATTAACCTTTAAAATTCATTGCTCAAAAACCATTTTAATTTATTTATTATTATTTTTTAAGACAGGATTTCACCATGTTGGTCAGGCTGGTCTTGAACTCCTGACCTCAGGTGATCTGCCCGCCTTGGCCTCTAAAGTGCTTGGATTACAGGTGTGAGCCACTACACCCGGCCACTTCAAAAATTCTTAACAAAAATTAAGATCTTCCATATGCTTATTTTTATTTTTGTCTTTTAATTGGCTCTAAATCATTTTCTGACTGATCAGATTATAAGATAGTGTTCTAGGAGCTGTTTCCTTTCTGTTTTCAGCCTGTTGAGGGCAGTGCGTTACTTGTCACGTCACTCCCAAGTTTCTTCATCCTTATTGATTTCCTCCATTAGTAAGATCTCAGTAAACAAATCAGAGTTTGGACAGTTTAGAATGGATTTTGTTTTAATCACTACTGCTTAATGTCCAGAGATGTGTTTCTGGTCGTTACTTTCTTGGTTCCAAACTGGAATATAGGGACATCAGGCAAAACAGCTTTCCTACTTTCCTAATTGGTTGGTGTTTAGTGGCTCTCTACTGTATGTGGTTTTATTCATTATTGAATGAAGTTGTTATTCCCATAGGCTCAGCCTGGTTGCAGAAGGAATTGGGAATTGGAATATCTTTTTTTTTGAGACAGAGTCTTGCTCTGTCACTCAGGCTGGTGTGCAGTGGCGTGATCTCAGCTTACTGCAGTCTCCGCCTCCTGAGTTCAAGTGATTCTCCTGCCTCAGCCCCCTGAGTAGCTGGCATTATAGGCACCTGCCACCATGTCAGGCTAATTTTTGTAGAAATGACATTTCTCCATGTTGGCTAGGCTGGTCTCAAACTCCTGACCTCAGGTGATGTGCCTGCCCTGGCCTCCCAAAGTGCTGGGATTACAGGAGTGAGCCACCACACCCGGCCGGAATTGGAGCCTCTTTGCTTTTCATGAGATGGAATCTGGTTTTGTTGCCCAGACTGGAGTGCAGTGATACAGTCTCAGCTCACTGGAACCTCTGCCTCTTGGGTTCAAGTGATTCTCCTGCCTCAGCCTCCTTAGTAGCTGAGATTACACATGTGTGCCACCATGCCCAGCTGATTTTTGTAATTTTAGTAGCAGCTGGGTTTTGCTGTGCTGGCCAGGCTGGTCTTGAACTCCCGACTCAGGTGAATTCACCCTCCTCGCCTCCCAAAGTGTTATGATTACAGACATGAGCCACCATGCCCGGCCATGGAACCATGGAGCCTCTTAAAGGCAGGGTTTAGAAAAATACCCAGCTCTCCTTTTTGTCTTATCCCTAGGTTAACTCATTCCTAATCTCATTCTCCCTCACTTTTCTGGGTTTTTCTGTTAACTTCTGTTTTTGTTGCTCATCTTTTTTTTTTTTTTTTGAGACGGAGTTTTGCTCTTGTTACCCAGGCTGGAGTGCAATGGCGCCATCTCGGCTCACCGCAACCTCCGCCTCCTGGGCTCAGGCAATTCTCCTGCCTCAGCCTCCTGAGTAGCTGGGATTACAGGCACGCGCCACCATGCCCAGTTAATTTTTTGTATTTTTAGTACAGACGGGGTTTCACCATGTTGACCAGGATGGTCTCGATCTCTTGACCTCGTGATCCGACCGCCTCGGCCTCCCAAAGTGCTGGGATTACAGGCTTGAGCCACCGCGCCCGGCCTTGTTGCTCATCTTAACCATGCCACTTCTTTCAGCTCCCCATTCCTTCTTCCCCGTTTCCCTCACCAGTGCGTCTTGCCTCCCTCTTTTAGGTATCTTATTCCCACAAAAGCAAGGTAATTTCATATAACAGGAAATATGTGGGGGATGAAGTGGGGAACAAAGTGTAAATAAAGCAAACCAAAATAAGGGAGACGTTAGTAACCACAGGTCATTTATTTTTTTCCTCTTGAATGTCTTTTTTTAATTTTAATTTTTTAAAAATTTTTATTTTTTGAGATGATTTTGCTCTGTTGCCCAGGTTGGAGTGCTGTGGCATGATCTTGGCTTACTGCAACCTCCGTCTCCCGGGTTTAAACAATTTTTTTTTTTTTTTTTTTGAGACGGAGTTTCGCTCTTGTTACCCAGGCTGGAGTGCAATGGCGCGATCTCTGCTCACCGAAACCTCCGCCTCCTGGGTTCAGGCAATTCTCCTGCCTCAGCCTCCCGAGTAGCTTTTGATTACAGGCATGCGCCACCATGCCCAGCTAATTTTTTGTATTTTTAGTAGAGATGGGGTTTCACCATGTTGACCGGGATGGTCTTGATCTCTTGACCTCGTGATCCACCCGCCTCGGCCTCCCAAAGTGCTGGGATTACAGGCTCGAGCCACCTGCGCCTGGCTTTTTTTTTTTTTTTTGAGACGGAGTTTCGCTCTTGTTGCCCAGGCTGGAGTGCAATGGCGCGATCTTGGCTCCCTGCAACCTCCGCCTCCCGGGCTCAGGCAATTCTCCTGCCTCAGCCTCCTAAGTAGTTGGGATTACAGGCACGCGCCACCATGCCCAGCTAGTTTTTTGTATTTTTAGTAGAGACAGTATTTCACCATGTTGACCAGGATGGTCTCAATCTCTTGACCTCGTGGTCCACCCGCCTCGGCCTCCCAAAGTGCTGGGATTACAGACTTGAGCCACCGCGCCCGGCCCGGGTTTAAGCAATTCTTCTGTCACAACCTCCTGAGTAGCTGGGATTACAGGTGTGTGCCACCAGCCACCATACCTGGCTAATTTTTTGTATTTTTTTTGTATTTTTTTTTTGAGACGGAGTTTCACTCTTGTTACCCAAGGCTGGAGTGCAATGGCGCGATCTCGGCTCACCGCAACCTCCGCCTCCTGGGTTCAGGCAATTCTCCTGTCTCAGCCTCCAGAGTAGCTGGGATTACAGGCACGCACCACCATGCCCAGCTAATTTTTTGCACTTTAGTAGAGACGGGGTTTCACCATGTTGACCAGGATGGTCTCGATCTCTTGACCTCGTGATCCACCCGCCTCGGCCTCCCAAAGTGCTGGGATTACATGCTTGAGCCACCACGCCCGGCCAATTTTTTGTGTTTTTATTTTATTTCATTGTTTTATTTTTTGAGATCGAGGTCTCACTCTGTTGCCCAGGCTGTGGTGTAGTGGCACAATCAAGCAGTTCTTCCACCTCAGCCTCCTGAGTAGCTGGGCTTGCAGGAGTATATGACCATGTACGGCTGAGTTTTGCATTTTTAGTAGATACGGGGTTTCGCCATGTTGTCCAGGCTGGTCTTGAACGCCTGACCTCCAGTGATCCATTCGCCCAGGCCTCCTAAGAGTGTTGGGATTACAGGCGTGAGCCACTGCACCCAGCCCCTCTTCATTTTCTGAACCTCAGTTGTTTTCTCATCTGTAAAATGGAAATGATACCTACCTAATGGAGAATATTTGTTAGAATTAAGAACGCTGTATAAAGTTCTTGGCAGGTAGATGTTCATTAAGTTGGCAGTTACCTCGCTCCTTATTTTTCTTTATTTTTAGTTATAGTTCATCCTTAAGCATTAAAAATGCTTTTCATATTTAGTAGGAAATACGGTTTAATGATAAGTGTTAACAAACAACGTCGCTTTGGATTTAATTTGGCAAAGTATTGCTGTAGAATGGTACCTAGTTAATATGCTAACAAATACTATAAGGCTGGGGTATAGTCTAGCTGATTGTAGTACAGGAATAAGAATCAGAATTTTCCAGGGCCGGGCGCGGTGGCTCAAGCCTGTAATCCCAGCACTTAGGGAGGCCGAGGCGGGTGGATCACAAGGTCAAGAGATTGAGACCATCCTGGTCAACGTGGTGAAACCCCTGTCTCTACTAAAAATACAAAAATTAGCTGGGCATGGTGGCACGTGCCTGTAATCCCAGCTACTCAGGAAGCTGAGGCAGGAGAATTGCCTGAACCCAGGAGGTGGAGGTTGCAGTGAGCCGAGATCACGCCATTGCACTCCAGTCTGGGTAACAAGAGCGAAACTCCGTCTCAAAAAAAACAAAGAGTACAAAAAGTAGCTGGGCATGGTGGTGGGTACCTGTAATCCCATCTACTCTGGAGACTGAGGCAGGGAGAATCGCTTGAACCTGGGAGGTGGAGGTTGCAGTCAGCTGAGATCATGCCACTGCACTCCAGCCTGGATGACAGAGTAAGACTCCATCTCAAAAAAAAAAAAAAAAAAAAAAAGATTTCGTAAGTATGAAATTTGATGGAATCATTTCTGGTATTTCATGTTAACATGCATACTGAAACTGTTCTTGTGATGGAATAGTTCATGTGGGTGTCCCTGAGTTTCAGGAGGCAAGCTTCTTCAAGGGAAGACTGCCTTATTGGAAGATGACTCTTGAGACAGGGTCTCACCCAGTTGCCCAAGATAGAGTGTAGTGGTGCAATCATGGTTCACTGCAGCCTCAACTTTCTGGGCTCAAGGGATTCTCCCACCTCAGCCTCCCAAGTAGCTGGGACCACAGGTGCACACCACCACACCATAGCTGTGCACCTGTGGTCCCTGGATGAACCACACCTGGTTAATGGAATACAGGTGTGAGGCACTGTGCCTGGCATGATGACTCTTTTTTCTTTTTTTTTTATTTGAGACAGAGTTTCATTCTTGTTACCCAGGCTGGAGTGCAATGGCGCGATCTCGGCTCACCGCAACCTCCACCTCCTGGGTTCAGGCAATTCTCCTGCCTCAGCCTCCTGAGTAGCTGGGATTATAGGCACGCGCCACCATGCCCAGCTAATTTTTTGTATTTTAGTAGAGACAGGGTTTCACCATGTTGACCAGGTTGGTCTCGATCTCTCGACCTTGTGATCCATCCGCCTCAGCCTCCCAAAGTGTTGGGATTACAGGCGTGAGCCACCGCGCCCGGCCATGATGACTCTTAAATAATGTGACTTGTCTTTACCTAGTGGCCCAGTCAGGTTGACACATAAAATTAACCATCACGTTTTTTTCCTTCAATAAATGTTTCCTTTCCACATTTTTCTGCAGACAGATGCACCATCAGGAATGGAATTACAGTCATGGTATCCTGTTATAAAGCAGGAAGGTGACCATGTTTCTCAGACACATTCATTTTTACACCCCAGGTGAGTTGATACTCATTTGTTTGTTCATTCATTCAACAGTGATATGCCATGGACTATGCTAGGACGTGTTTCTTTCTTCTTCTTTTTTTTTTTTTTCTTGAGATGGAGTCTTGCTCCGTCACCCAGCTGGAGTGCAGTGGCGTGATCTCAATTCACTGCAACCTCTGATTCCTGGCTTTAAGCTGTTCTCTTTAGCCTCCCGAGTAGCTGGGACTATAGGCGCACACCATCCCGCCTGGCTAATTTTTGTGTTTTTGGAAGAGATGGGGTTTCACAGTGTTGGCCAGGCTGGTCTCAAATTCCTGGCCTCAGGTGATCCACCCATTTTGGCCTCCCAAATTGCTGGGATTACAGGCATGAGCCACTGTGCCAGGCCAGGAATTTATTTCTTTAGTTTCAGGCTTTTTTGTTAATCATAGATTATCTTTGAAAATTCAAAATTATTTTTAAATTAATACATTGGTATTTAATATATTTTTTGGTTTTTTTTTTTTTTTTTGAGACGGAGTTTTGCTCTCGTTACCCAGACTGGAGAGCAATGGCACGATCCCAGCTCACCGCAACCTCCGCCTCCTGGGTTCAGGCAATTCTCCTGCCTCAGCCTCCTGAGTAGCTGGGATTACAGGCACATGCCACCACGCCCAGCTAATTTTTTGTATTTTTAGTAGAGACGGGGTTTCACCATGTTGACCAGGATGGTCTCGATCTCTTGACCTCGTGATCCACCCGCCTCAGCCTCCCAAAGTGCTGGGATTACAGGCTTGAGCCACCGTGCCCGGCCTATTTTTGGTTTTTATTTATCATTATATGGAAATTGGAGGTGAATTGTTTAGGTCAGTCTTATGAGTAAAAATTTCAAAGAATCTAAAATGAAATGAATTGTAAATTACATTGAATATCTGAAGTAACCTTTACTGTGTATTTCTGTGTGTTTTCTAGAAATAGGTCATTTTCTGTTTGCCCTCAAGTAAAAAATTAAAGTTCTTTAATTTCTTACTTTTCTTTTTTTTTTTTAATTTTTTTTTTTTAATTTCTTACTTTTCTTCAAGAGATAAACCAATTCTTGAGTTTGGTATGCAACTTTAATTTCTTTGTTTGTTTTTTTCTTTGTTTTTTTTTTTTTTTTTGGACAGAGTCTCACTGTGTTGCTTAGGCTGGAGTGCAATGGTGTAATCTCAGCTCACTGTAACCTCCGCCTCCTGGGTTCAAGCAATTCTCTCGCCTCAGCCTCCTGAGTAGCTGGAATTATAGGCATCTGCTCTACACCCAGCTAATTTTTGTATTTTTAGTAGAGATGAGGTTTCACCATGTTGGCCAGGCTCTTCTTGAACTCTTGACCTCAAGTGATCCACCTGCCTCAGCCTCCCAAAGTGCTGGGATTACAGATGTGAGCCATCACACCTGGCCTGCAACTTGAATATTTTAAAAATAAATTCTTTTGAAACTTAGAGTTTTCTTAATAATCACACCTCTCAAAATCAGGGTTTTACTTTTTTGATAAAGGTGCACCCTAGATTATAAGTTTTTTATTGTTGAGTCCTAGATTTTTATCTACTAGTGTAAATCTGTATTCTCTCCAAGCATGGTGATTGTGAAAGAGACTGAGTCTTATTTACATTTGTACAATTGCTACTTTACCTGTTGTATTTGCAGTAAGTCTTTTGAGTGCTATTAAACCTGTCAATTTTCTTGTCCTGTCAGAAAACTGAAATTTTGGCTCAAAAATGTATGTCATTAACAAAGGGGAACAATATAGATGTCTTGTACAAAGAAAATGAGATGTAAGAGGAGATTGTCTGGAGTTCACGGGATGAAGTGTCAAGTCTGTTAAATGTTTCCATCTTTTTGCTGTTACTCAGAATATAGTTGCAAATATGGTACTTAAATATCTAGCTGAAATTTGTTCCTTGAGCCTCTCAGATGAGTCTACTGGGCAATTTTATATGAATTTTGAGCAAAATTTGTAATCTCCCTTAGTCTCAGTTTTGCATAGTTTATTATTGCCATTTTATCAGATGAGGAGGAAGTACTGAAGTATTTTAAGAAGATTGCTCAGTGGGGTTTGATACAAGAACTGCCCAGTAGCAGGGCGCAGCATTCAGAGTGCATATGCTCTCTCTGAGGTACATAAGAAGAGGCCTAGAAACACCTCATTGAGCCTCTCGTCAATCAGGCCATAGCCTTGCAATCTTCATTTGAAGCGGCTTCACCAAAGCAAAGAGCCAGGATTCCCTGTTTTAGAGGGCTGGTGGGCAAGATAAAGTCTTCCAAAGTAGTTATAGATTATTCTCTTTCTGGAGTAAAACTTACCTGCTCAGGGTTGTTACACAGCTCTGTAAAGTACTTAGTGCTTTTAGTTCTAAGGTAGTTTTGAGGGAAGAAGAGGTTGTGATAGAAATTTTCTGAGTATCTTTTTTGTGCTTAGAAATTACTTGCCAAAGGAAAAAAAAAAAAAAAGAAGGAAGAAATTACTTGCAAGCTGGGTGTGGTTGCTGACGCCTGTAATCCCAGTGCTTTGGGAGTCCAAGGTAGGAGGATATCACTTGAGCCCAGGAGTTGGTAGGAGGTAGGAGGATATCACTTGAGACCAGCTTGGCAGCGTAGCAAGACCCTATCTCTAAAAAAAACAACAATACAACTACAACAACAAAACCACATGGGCATGTGTATTTCCAGCCACCTGGGATGCTGAGGAGGATTGCTTGAGCCCAGGAGTTAGAGGGTACAGTGAGCCACGATCATGATCATGCCACTACACTCCAGCCTGGGTGACAGAGTGAGACCCTGTCTCTTAAAAAAAAAAGGAATTACTAACAAACAAAAATCCTTTATAATTTTGTTTGTAATGCCTAAAGTGCTGATTTTTTTTCCCTAAGAATTCTTTTCTGTGACCCTTATTTTCTGAGTTATAATATTGTCTGTTATTTGGAAAAAAAAAAAAAGTTTTCCAGGCTGTGTTGTTAGAGAAAAAAAAAAAAAAAGAGTTTAACCACAGAAATAAATGTTACATATTTTGTTTTTTACTTAATTGTAATATATAATATATGTCTTGTTTTGCTTTTACTTGTTTTCAGCTACTACTTATACATGTGTGATAAAGTGGTTGCCCCCAACGTGTCACTTACTTCTGCTGTATCCCAGTCTAAAGAGCTCACAAAGACAGAGGCAAGTAAGTCCATATCAAGACAGTCAGAGAAGGCTCACAGTAGTGGTAAACATCAAAAAACAGTGTCTTATCCAGATGTCTCACTTGAGGAACAGGAGAAAATGGATTTAAAAACAAGTAGAGAATTATGTAGCCGTTTAGGTAAGTATTCAGAGATTATGTTTCTAAAATTAAATATCTAATGAACACATTTACTCAGCATTTTCAAACAGGTTTTTTGTTTTTGTTAAGCTCAATTTTCAGATAATTGGAGCTTTTACCTTTAAAAATGCTACCCTTCAAAATTCTGGGTGATTTCTTTTAATCTCAGTTGCTGTACTTTTGTAGTGTGGTGATAGCTCAAGAGACTGAGATAGGCTGCCTGGCCTAAGACTGCAAGTTATTTTTGTCTGAATATTTTTCTTTCCTACCTTTTATTTGCTGTCAGATTTCTTTAGTAGATCCTTGTTTTTCTTTCTTCCCCAACTTTTGTGTGTGTGTGTGTGTGTGTGTGTGTGTGTGTGTGTTAGAGTCTTTCTCTGTTGCCTAGGCTAGAGTGCAGGGTTGGGGTCATGGCTCATTGCAGCCTCAACCTTTTGGCTCAAGTGATCCTCCCAACTCAGCTTCCTTGGTAGCTAGGACCACAGGCACATGCCACTGTGCCTGGCTGATTAAAAAAAAAAGGTTTTTTGTTTTGTTTTGTTTTTTTAAGAAATAGATCTTGCTATGTTGCTCAGGCTGATCTTGAACTCCTGAGCTCAAGTGTTCCTCCTGCTTTGGCTTCTCAAAGTATTGGGATTACAGCGGTGAGCCACACACTCGACCTTTATTTTTCTAATTTGCCGTGAACCAAGACAACACTTAACTAATACTAAGAAGTATATGTAAGTAAAAGTAGTTAGATATGGAACTCAGGGAAGCTTAGTTATGGAATAAAGCAAGGATTGAAAACTCTGGACGCCAGGCATATGGCATAAATGTGGAACACTGGCTGGTTATCTAAAAGAAAAATAGCTGGCTACTTAGCATGCCTTTTAAAATACGGTGGATTAAATGAGATGTCTGCAGCTATTGCCTATGTTACCTACCATCTGTATAGCAGCACAGCTTTGCTTGATGATTAGGCAGTATGACAGTTACTTTAGCTGCCTTGGAACAATTAGAGGATCCTCTAGTTATTTAATTTTTTATAGAGAATTGAGATTCTTGGGGGTTTTCTACATTAATTTTGAAGGTTTTTTGTTTTGTTTTGTTTTTCTGATTTAGAGACAGAGTCTCGCTCTGTTGCTTTAGGCTGGTGGAGTACAGTGATGCATTCATAGCTTACTGCAGCTTCAAATTGCTGGTCTCAAGTAGTCTTGCACCTCAGCCTTTCCAGTAGCTAGGACTACAGATGCGTGCCACTGTGCCCGCCTCATTTTTTCATTTTTTGTAGAGATGGGGCCTCACTGTATTGCTCAGGCTGGCATTAAGCTCTTAGCCTCAAGTGATCCTCCTGCCTTGGCCCCTAAAGCATTGGGATTACAGATGTGAACCACCACGCCTGGCCAATTTTGAGATTTTTAAAACTCAGTTTTCTTTGGATTTAAATATGGTAAATAAAAATTAGTAATGACTATTATGCCATATTTGCGTTGTATTTTATTTCCCAAATTAATTCTAGTGACTTCTAAAAAATTACTGAGATATAGGCCGGGTGCGGTGGCTCAAGCTTGTAATCCCAGCACTTTGGGAGGCCGAGGTGGGTGGATCACGAGGTCGAGAGATCGAGACCGTCCTGGTCAACATGGTGAAGCCCCGTCTCTACTAAAAATACAAAAAATTAGCTGGGCATGGTGGCACGTGCCTGTAATCCTAGCTACTCAGGAGGCTGAGGCAGGAGAATTGCCTGAACCCAGGAGGCGGAGGTTGCGGTGAGCCGAGATCGCGCCATTGCACTCCAGCCTGGGTAACAAGAGCAAAACTCCGTCTCAAAAAAAAAAAAAATTATTGAGATATAATTCATATACCATAAAATTTACCCTTTTAAAGCATACCATCAGTGGTTTAAATATATTCACAAAGTTGTGCAATCATCACAACTAATTTAGTTTCATAATATTTTCTTTTCTTTTTTGAGATGGAGTTTCGTTCTTGTCACCCAGGCTGGAGTGTGATGGTGCGATCTCAGCTCACTGCAACCTCTGCCTTCTGAGTTCAAGCAATTCTCCTGCCTCAGCCTCCTGAATAGCTGGGATTATAGGCATGGATCAGCACGCCTGGCTAATTTTTTTGTATTAGAGTAGAGACGGGGTTTTCACCATGTTGGTGAGGTTGGTCTTGAACTCCTGACCTCAGGTGATCTGCCTGCTATGCCACCATGCCTGGTTAATTATTTTGTATTTTCAGTAGAGACGGAGTTTTACCGTGTTGATCAGGCTGGTGGCAAACTCCTGATCTCAGGTAATCTACCTGCCTTGGGCTCCCAAAGTGCTGGAATTACAGGCTTGAGCCACCATACCCAGCCAAGAAATTTATATTTAAGGATTGTAGCTCTTACATTTAGGTCTTTGATCAATTTTGAGTTAATTTTTGTATACCGCGTAAGGTCCAACCTTATTCTTTCACATGTGGATAAAGTTGTCCATATGTTGAAAAGATTATTCTTTTCTGATTGAATTGCTTTGGCACCTTTGTCAATAACAATTGCCTTATAAAGTATGAGTTTTTAAAATACCTGGACTCTGAATTCTGTTCTACTGATCTGTACGTCTGTCCTTATGTCATATTACACAGTCTTGATTTCTGTAGCTTTGTAGTAAGCTTTGATATTGGGAATTGTGAGTTTTTCAGCTTTGTTACTCATTCTTTTTCAAGATTGTTTTGTCTACTTTGGGTTTGTTGCATTTCCATATAAATTTTAGAATCCGCTTGTCAATTTCTGCAAAAATTCCAGTGGGGATTTTGATTGGGATTGCACTGAATAAGTAGATCAATTTGGGGAGTATGACTGTTTAACAATGTTAAGTCTTCCAATCCATGAATTTGGGGTGTCTTTCCATGTATTTAGGTCCTAAATTTCTTTTAGTGATGTTTTATAGTTTTCATTGTACTTGCACTACTTTTGTTAAATTTATTCCTAAGTATATTATTTGTTTTGGTTTAATTTATAAATGAAATGTTTTAAAAATTTCATTTATGGATTGCTCTAGTGATTTCTTAATGGAGTGATATTTATACTTTGTTACTTAATTTTTTTCTTTCAAGATTCATCAGTCTCAAATAATTCTACAAGTAAAAGGAAATCTGAGTCTACCACTTGCAACTTAGTCAGAGACATAAGCAGAGTGGGAATTGGTCATGATGCTGCTGCTTCATCTCCACTTCTTCTGGAAGATGTCTTTTGTGAGGATGATAAGGGAAAAATGATGGAAGAAGTAATGAGAATTTATGTAAAACAGCAGGAAAAACTAAACTTGATTTTGCAAAAGAAGCAACAACTTCAGATGGTAAAATTGTTACCTAAATAATAGTCCATTATGAAAAGCTACTTTTGTATATTCTTTTTTTTTCCTTACCCTGAGACAGAGTCTTGCTCTTTTGCCCATGCTGGAGTGCAGTGATGCGATCTTGGCTCACTGCAACCTCCGCCTCCAGGGTTCAAGCAGTTCTCCTGCCTCAGCCTCCCCAGTAGCTGGGATTACAGGCATGCACCACCACACCCACCTAATTTTTGTATTCTTAGTAGAGATGGGGTTTCACCATATTGTCCAGGCTGGTCTCTAACTCTTGACCTTGTAATCTGCCTTCCTCGGCTTCCCAAAGTGCTGGATTGCAGGTGTGAGCCACCATGCCTGGCCTCCCTGTATATTTTTAGTAAGAAAAGTCAGGATGAGATACTACAAATATACTTAAGATTATTGTTTTGTTTTACATTGATAAGCAATTTTTTTTTTTTTTTTTTTTTTTTTGAGACGGAGTTTCGCTCTTGTTACCCCAGGCTGGAGTGCAATGGCGCGATCTCGGCTCATCGCAACCTCCGCCTCCTGGGTTCAGGCAATTCTCCTGCCTCAGCCTCCTGAGTAGCTGGGATTACAGGCACACGCCACCATGCCCAGCTAATTTTTTGTATTTTTAGTAGAGACGGGGTTTCACCATGTTGACCGGGATGGTCTCGATCTCTTGACCTCGTGATCCACCCGCCTCGGCCTCCCAAAGTGCTGGGATTACAGGCTGAGCCACCGCGCCCGGCCAGCAATTTTAATATACTTTAAAAGTTTTTGGGAAAATATTTTTCAAAATAATTACCTCTATATCGAACTGTTAATGATAGCTGAATTTTAGATAATTTCTGTGCTATATTTTTTCTGAACTGAAAATTTTAACGTGGTGAAAATAAAGTAAGAGTTATATTGTGATTCTTTACAGGAAGTAGAAATATTGAGTAGTTCAAAATCTATGAAGGAACTCACTGAAGAACAGCAGAATTTACAGAAAGAGCTTGAATCTTTGCAGAATGAACATGCTCAAAGAATGGAAGAATTTTACGTTGAGCAGAAAGACTTAGAGAAAAAATTGGAGCAGGCAATGAAGCAAAAATGTACCTGCTGACTCAAATTTAGAAAAAGACAAAGAGGCTGAATATGCAGCCCAGGTAAGAATTACTGTTTGTCTAACGATGTTTCAGCATAGAAATGGAAACTGTTACCTCTCTAATAAAGGAATTACCTTTTGTCAAGCTCAGTTTACTAAGCTAGATTTCAGAATAGGTAATTCTGTTAAACATAGCTTTATGCTGTATTGTCCAAGATGATTATTTTGATGTTGATTGCTTTCTTAGTTTAAATTGTATTGGGTTACTATAGTTTAGTTATGTAAATTGCTAATGTCTAGCCCTCTGAATATCAAATGTTATTTTATTTTAATGTACTATATGAGCTTTCAAATCTACAAATTAACAGGGACTATTTCCTGTTATGTTCAAAAGCTTGGGAACAAAAATAAGCAATTCCCTTTCATTGATAGAATCTTACAATTTAAGGATCATGAACAAATAACTAACATGAGCAGGCTGTGATGAGTGGTGAAGTATTGGGCATAATGAACGTGCTGTAGGTGTTCATTCCTCTTGTTCCTTTGCTTTTTCAATTTAATGTCCTGTCAGTGTCAGATTAATAGTACTAGATACTTAACAGATGTAGTATACATGAAGTAGTTCATTTTATAAAAAGTAACTTGAAAGTAGGTATTTGCTATGATATGAGGATTAAATGGAAAAGCAAAACAATTAAAATTGATGTGGCCTTTTAAATCACATAGTTGGCAGAACTGAGGCAGAGATTGGACCATGCAGAGGCTGATAGGCACGATCTCCAAGATGAACTCAGACAGGAGCGGGAAGCAAGACAGAAGTTAGAGATGATGATAAAAGAGCTAAAGCTGCAAATTCTGAAATCATCAAAGACTGCTAAGAATTAGAAACTGTTAAAGAGATTTATCTGTGTATTATTGACAAGGTTTTTTGTTTGTTGCTTGCTTTCGTAATTGAATTCTGAAGAACTTAACTGCATGAAGATAATTAGACATTCTACTCATTTGTAGATCAGAGAAAGTGAAGAGATTATATATTAGTACTTAAATTTTTACATTTTCCAAATGAATGAAAATGTATGTTTCTTTGTACTTTTTTAAAAAAAACAGCTTAGTTATAATACCATATGGTTTCAACTAGTAGGTAATCTGCTTATATTTCTAATGTAAACTTCACAATTATGTCCTTTTTAAAAGCTGCAGTATGTGATGGAAAATAGCTGTGGTCCATTTTGTTATCCGTATTTCAGACTCAATTTTAGATACAATGGTGGCTTTATATTTTAAGTATATAGAGTTACTCAAGGAGTTGAATCTCCCCTTTTCTCATTAACACAATCTTTCTAAGTTGATATAGTATACTCATTAACATGCACCAAATTTACTTTTTACTTTGTTCAGATTGTGGAATGAATTTCCACCAGTTTTCTTTTGTCTGTCCTAGGAGGAATTTTATTGAGGTTATAACATACCCCATGAGCACAGTGGGGAAGAATAATGTGGTGTTATGCACTGCTGCTAAACAGAAGCAGCAGTTGTAATTTGTGTTTTAGTTTAAATGTGGTTATATTTAGATTTTTTTTTAAGCAGCAGTTTTTCAAAAATGAAATGTAATAATTTCTGTACTTTGTGTTAATAGTGGTGTGAAAATATTAATGTTCTTGAGAAAACTGATACCACTGTTGTATATCAGTTTCTATACAATCCATAATCCTGTACAGTTTTTATATGTAGTTACGAGTCTTGCTGAAATTTATATAATGAATTTGTCTTCCTTTAAGTTGTAAAATGTTAAACACCTTGAAGGTTATTTTGGACTTTTGTATGTTTAAATATTAAGTCTTACCAAAATTTGCACGAATGGACCATTTTCAATTACAACTTAAAATCAGGAATTTACAGTCAACTGATAGTGTATGATAGATGCATATAGGACAGATTAGTTATCTGCTACTAAAAGATTTTTAGGTAATTATCAGAAGGTAAAGGAATTCCATAGTTTTGGGAGGGACAACATCTTCTGCACTTCTTTTTTTTTTTTTTTTGCACAGAAAAGTCTGTCATTCTTAATGGCAAATTTCATATTAGTTAATTCTTGGCTTAAAATATATTAGGTAAAATTCTTAGATTTGTTTTTAAAGGAAGTTTCCCGAAACTCTTCATTAATTAACATTATTATCCCATGGATTTTATGGGATAATAAATGTTTTTCATGTTCTCTTATAAGGTACTATGTATGAAATTACTTAAGAGAGCTATATTTATTTTAAAATAAATTAGCTAGGGTTAAGGTTAGATTCTATTTCCAGCATAGAACGTAGATAATCTAATGATGTAGAAAAAAATTACTAGATTGCCATTTAACCAGTTTTCATATTTTGCTTAATAGTACACATCCAAAAATAATTTTGTACTTCCCCAAATGTGTAATGTATTTACTAAATTGAGTATGACCTAAATGTGTATTTTCTATTTTCCATTTAAATTTTACTATACTAACACTAATTTTATTTGTTGATTCTTGGAATCTTCTCAAGGAGGAGCAAATATTAAAATGACATTCAGAAACAAATTTTGAATTATTTGTGTCATAGCTCAGCTGAGTTTTGGAAGACAAACTCAAGCACCTATAATTTCATTGGTATTTCTAATTTACTCAGAACCTTTCTGCTTTGTGTTACCTAGTAAATGATAAACTAATTTGTTTCAACCCAAAACTTCAAAAATAAATTGCCTAATCCTTGAAATCTGTTATTTAAAAATTCTTAGCAGTGCTTAAACACCATTAAATTATTACAAACTTGTAATTCAGAATTGAGTAAGAAATATTTTTTCTAGTCCTTCACATAATGAAAAGTTGCCACATGACTTTGTATAGTCTTCATTTTTCAGAAGATGCATTGATGTGCCATAGGTTTCTGTCTAACTTCCTTGAAAATGGTTTTTTAAGTCAATTGTAAATACACATATTATTAAAAGTAACTTTAAACTGCACCATATAGCTTGAAAACAATACAGAGATTTTGTAATACCTTATAAGTGGCCTCTGCTAAAATACCCATATAAAACTTATTCTATTCTTTGCATGCTTATTTTGTGTGTTGGTTGTTAGCTTAATGTTTGATTTGTTGTTAGTTTTTGTGTGCCAAATTCGTCAGGCAAGCAGATTTTTCCTCAGACTTCAAAAAATAATTCTTTTTAGGAAAAATGTAAAAATGTTTACTCTAAAAAGCTGCATTAAAGGAACACCTATAAAAAGGTTTGCTATTGCATCTTTAGAAGGAAGAAAGAATGTTAGCTTGGATGATGTTTAATTTGGGTGGTGATAGTTTCTGTAGTCTAAACTTTATGAGAAAAGGGTACCAACTCTATAAAGGTAATAAATATAAAACCTCCTGCTGTTACTGAGGAAGCTCTTCAACTACGCTAAATTTCACAAATGTAACTTAAAGATTTGACCAACAATTTACGTTTGTTGTGTGCTTTAGTTTTTGTTTAAGCATATTCTTTTGCTCGAATTTCTGTGTTCATAAGAGTTAGGGTGTTTTGTGCTTCTTGAACTAATTTTATAACATATTTAATATATTACCAGTTAAGATATAAAATCATTTGTACATAGTGAATTGTAAAGCAGCTATTAAAGTAGGTGAAATAAAGTATATATTTGCGGGTTATCCGTATCTTTTAGAAGTCATGACAGAACAACCAGTTTGTTTGCACATCAGTAGCTTCTGTTTGAAGGAAAGTAAAGTTATAAGGAAACTCAAGTACTATAAAATGTGTCAAGGTATTTCCCTAAAATTAATTGTGAAGCTTGTGCTGAAGGTTTTTGATCAGCTTCTAAAATTTTCTCAGTAAGACATATGTTTTGATTAGGGAAGATTCCTCATTTTTATTTGCCCTTTATACATTTAATCCACATGATAGGACATTAAAAATTAATATAAAGAAAAATTGTGCTCATACTGTACATCTATTTCTGTGCTTGGAGCTACTTAATAGTTTTTAATGGAAGCTGTCAGCAATAAGGGACATATAACTGCTGTATTATACATTGTGGAATTAAATAAACAGAGCTTAATTTCCTTTTCCTAGTATAGGGTACTTAAGCATTTCCACTTTTGGAAGAAAAGCATATGAGTATTTTCTATTGCATTTTGTTTAAAAGGACAGTTTTTGTTTGTTTGTTTCTGTTTTTGTTTTGGTAAATCCCTTCATTTAAATGGTTTCTAAGCTATACAATGTAATTTGGAGCCTATTTAGTAATAGAATTAAATGTCTTATGTAGCACTACAATTTTTGAATTAGAAAGTGATCAAATGTAAAAAACAAAAAAAAATTAAGCCCGGAAAACAAAATAGTTTATTAAATTAGTTTAATATAAAATGAATATAAGATTTTTTTCCTCAATATAGATACCTCACTTGAAAATAAAGCACAAAGTAGTTCTAGTAAACATGTCCTACAAAACAGTTGCTAAATGTAGGACATCTTTTGAGGAATTAGTTTGTGAGAAATAAAATATACTTGTTTTAACTATCCTGTTAGAAGTATTTGTTTATCCTGATAATTTTAAGCCAACATAATAGTCTTAAATTATTTCTGAATTTTTAATCTGTGAAGGCAGTAAATGAAATATCTGTTCTGCAACTGTTGAAGCAAATAATTGACTACATTGACCATAATTAAATTTAAAATTTTGCCAATGATGTACAGTTTTATGGTTAAAGTTGCTGTGGTTGGTTGCATTACATGACACACAAAACTGTCCTCTACCTCACGTGAAATAAATATTTTATATGGTTTTACTAAAAATAAAACTCATGTATCTGGTCACCTAGTTTACAAATTTTCAATTATATTTATTGAAACATGACATACTGTGCTCTGAGCTTATACCTCAATTGTATTTTGTGCTGTTTTCCATTTTCATGCCTTGTAAATAACTTGTATAGATTGTGGATCAAATTCTAAATAAAAACTTTTAATGCCAGTGAAATTTGGTTCAAGTCATTTCAGTATCCTTTGTGAGCTTAACTTTCTTGTTCCTTAAGATTGACATTTTCTCCTTTGTTCCTTTAAAAGTCTATTGTTTGTAGGCTGGGCACGATGGCTCTTGCCTTGTAATCCCAGCACTTTGGGAGGTGAAGGCAGGCGGATCATCTGAGGTGAGGCGTTTAAGACCAGCCTGCCCACATGGTGAAACATTGCCTCTACTAAAAATACAAAATTAGCTGGGTGTGGTGACCCATGCTTGTAATCCCAGCTACTTGGGAGGCAGGAGAATCACTTACTTGAACCCAGGAGGCAGAGGTTGCGGTGAGTCAGGGTCGCGCCATTGCACTCCTGCCTGGGTGACAAGAGCGAAACTATGTCTCAAAAAAAAAACCAAACTTTTTTTTTTTTTTTTAGACGGAGTTTCGCTCGTTACCCAGGCTGGAGTGCAATGGTGCGATCTCGGCTCACCGCAACCCTCATCTCCTGGGTTCAGGCAATTCTCCTGCCTCAGCCTCCTGAGTAACTGGGATTACAGGCACGTGCCACCATGCCCAGCTAATTTTTGTATTTTTAGTAGAGACGGGGTTTCACCATGTTGGCCAGGATGGTCTCAATCTCTTGACCTCATGATCCACCTGCCTCGGCCTCCCATGGTGCTGGGATTATAGGTGTGAGCCACTGCGCCCGGCCCTATTTAATAATTTTTAGACTTTTGCTTTAACATTTTTTTTTACCACCCTTATTAAATCCCTGGTATAAGTTACCTACTGCATAACAAATTACCTTAAAGTTTAGCAATGTGGCTCTTACCTGTAATCTCAGTGCTTTGGGGGGCTGGGCTGGGAGGATCACTTGAGTCCAGGAGTAGCAGTTTGAGGCTGCAGTGAGCTGTTACATAATCACACCACTGCACTCCAGCCTGGGTAACAGTGAGTAGAGAGACCTTGTCTCTAAAAACAAACAAAAGGCCAGGCTTGGTGGCTAACCCCTGTAATCCCGGCACTTTGGGAGGCCGAGGTGGGCGGAACATGAGGTCAGGAGTTCGAGACCAGCCTTACCAACATGGAGAAACCCCATCTCTACTAAAAATAGAAAAATCAGCCGAGCGTGGTGGTTCACTCCTGTAATCCCAGCTACTCTGGAGGCTGAGGCAGGAGAATCACTTGAATCCTGGAGGTGGAGGTTACAGTGAGCTGAGATTGTGCCACTGCAGTCCAGCCTGGGCGACAGAGCAGTCTCAAAAGAAAAAACCTAAGCAACTTATAAATTATATCACGGTATCGGCCAGGCGCGGTGCCTCAAGCCTGTAATCCCAGCACTTTGGGAGGTCGAGGCGGGTGGATCACGAGGTCAAGAGATCGAGACCATCCTGGTCAACATGGTGAAACCTCGTCTCTACTAAAAATACAAAAAATTATCTGGGCATGGTGGCGCGTGCCTGTAATCCCAGCTACTCAGGAGGTTGAGGCAGGAGAATTGCCTGAATCCAGGAGGCGGAGGTTGCGGTGAGCCGAGATTGCGCCATTGCACTCCAGCCTGGGTAACAAGAGCGAAACTCTGTCTCAAAAAAAAAAAAAAAAAGAAAAAAAGTAGTCTCCAATTGTACAGATATTTTGAAATTACATTAGCAATCTGTAGTTTGAAATTCATTTTTATTTTATTTTATTTTATGTTTTGAGACACGGTCTTGCTCTGTTGCCCAGGCTGGAGTGCAGTGGTGTGATCTCGGCTCACTGCAACCTCTGCCTCCTGGGTTCAAGCTATTCTCTGCCTCAGCCTCCAGAGTAGTTTGGGATTACAGGCCTGTACCACCACACCCAGCTAATTTTTATATTTTTAGTAGAGATGGGGTTTCTCTATGTTGCCCAGGCTGGTCTTGAACTTCTGGCCTCAAGTGCTCTGCCTGCCTTGGCTTCCCAAAGTGTTGGGATTACAGGCATGAGCCACAGTGCCTGGCCAAGATTCATATTTTATAATATATTATTTACTTCTTAATTGAACAGTTAATTGAAATGTAAATTAAAAATCAATGGAATACTTCATAATTATTATGTTAGATACATTTTTAGAAGCTGGATCAAAGACTGTACTTTTTTTTTTTTTTTTTTGAGACACAGTCCCGCTCTGTCACCCAGGCTGGAGTGCAATGGCCCAATCTCAGCTCACTGCAACCTCCGCCTCCTGGGTTCAAGCAATTCTCCTGCCTCAGCCTCCTGAGTAGCTGGGATTACAGGTGCCCGCTACCACGTCCGGCTAATTTTTGTGTTTTTAGTAGAGACAGGATTTCACTGTGTTGGCCAGGCTGGTTTCAAACTCCTGACCTCAGGTGATCCTCTTGCCTCAGCCTCCCAAAGTGCTGGGATTACAGGTGTGAGCCACCATATCTGGCCCAGACTGTACATATTTTAAATCTTTTTGCTATATATTTGCAAATTGATTTTGAAATGGGGTGTGTCAGCAGGGCTATTGGTTTTTTGTAAAGCTCATCCTTTGTGTGTCAGAATTTTTATGAAATCATTTATCTGGAACTAATGGGAGACTGCGAGAGCCCTCCAGTGGCCAAGCTAATTTCTACAAAAATATCATCCGAATGAAAAAGGAACTGTATCCAATTGTTAAATCTTAATGGCAAAGAGAAGGGATGGCTAGAATTATTTTAGCTGTTTAAAAGGCCATATGCTATAGTTGTAGGTGAGATGACGTTTGCTTTCCTTTCAAATTCTTACTCAAATGTTTACCAGATTTTGAAACATTTTGAGTTTCACTGCTCTGTAATATGGTTAAGATTGTGTTTACTGATCAGTTGATGCCAGGAGTTTGAGACCACACAGTAAGACCCTGTCTCTACAAATAATACAAAAATTAGCTGGCTGGCTGTGGTGGTGGGCACATATGGCCACAGTTGCTCAAGAGGCTGAGGTGGGAGGATTGCTTGAGCTTGGTGGGTGGGGAGTATCAAGGCTGCAGTGAGCCGTGGTAGCCCGCCACTGCGCTCCAGCCTGGCTACAGAAGGAGACGCTTTCACAAACAGACAAACAGGTTTACAAACAACTCATCAACTGTTTTTTTGGTGTAGAAGCCAATAGTTATTGAGTATTTACTATGCATTAGGCAGTAAGTTTTACATTTACATCCAAGAATTTTACATTTAGGAACACATTTAACATTCTAACAGCAGTTATGAAATAGTTATTGTTTTTTGTTTTGTGACAGAGGCTCCATCTGTTGCCCAGGCTGGGGTGCAGTGATGTGACCATAGCACTTTGTAACCTCCATCTCCTGGGCTCAAGTGATCCTCCTGCCTCAGCCTCCTCAGTAGCTACGACTATTAGTAGCTATTTTTATTTTTGTAGAGACAGGTTGCTGAGGCTGATCTAAAACTCCTGGCATCAAGCAATTTTCCTACCTCAGCCTCCCAAAGAGCTGGGATTACCGATGTGAGCTACTGTGCCCAGCCAGTTACCACTGTTAAAAATTTTTTTCTGGTGAGGAAATAGAATATTAGTTACTAAATGCAGTTACTAAACAAAATGTTGGCTGGGAGCATGAGCAGCCGTGCCCTGCCCCTTAATTATTAAGATAAGAGAATTTAACAGTGTGGCTTTTTAGTTAGATTATTTCCTGATTTTTCCCTTCAGCACTTACATACTCTATTACTATTACGTTTTTTGAAAATGTAATCACTAGTTGAGTTTGGGCTAAAAAGAAGGACTTTTGCTCTTCTTCAGGAACTATGATCTCATAGGTTGAATAAGACAAGATATCATTTAATGTAGTCTGAGACTCCTGGCAGAGAAGTGGATGAACAGAATTGCCTGCTAGAGACAGAAGAGGATTCAAACCTGAAACTCCAGGTAGAAGCTTTTCAGTATTTCACTCTATCTGCAAAGGGCAAGGGATGGGGGAGCACCTGGAGCCCTGTTGTCTGTTCTAGAGAACCTGGGAATTTTTTTTTTTGGACAGAGTTTTGCCCTTGTTGCCCAGACTGGAATGCAGTGGCGCCATCTCGGCTCACCACAACCTCTGCCTCCCAGGTTCAAGCGATTCTCCCGCCTCAGCCTCCTACAGGCACGTGCCACCACTCCCGGCTAATTCTGTACTTTTAGTAGAGATGGTGTTTCTCCATGTTGGTCAGGCTGGTCTCCTGATCTCAGGTGATCCGCCCGCCTTGGCCTTCCAAAGTGTTGGGATTACAGGTGTGAGCCACCCTCCTGGCTGAGAGTCTGGTGTGTTTTCCACAGTGATTGTTGAAGAAATTTCCTGAAAAGAAAACTTTTCTCCTTTAGTAGCCGAATTTCAATCTTGATGGAGGTATATGCATTGAGGCCAGCTTCTGTTTGAGACTTGAGCGGTACACATCCCTTCTACTGGGGAAGGCTTCGCTTTAGAATGGACGGCAGGTGGGTACCTGAGACCACAAAGAGCTCTACTCTGCCTCTTGCCCACTCCCTAGACAAGCTCTAATTGCCACCGCCTGATTTCTTCTGCATGGTGTCTTCAGGTTCTCATCCCGGTGAAACTTGTAGGCCTGCAAATTCAATCTCTCCCTCTGTTTTAACCCTTCAGTCAGCTCCGTTCCAACAGGTATGTATGGAGCACCCCTGTGTGTGCCACGTGCTGTGCCACACTCTACAGTTTCAGTGATGAACAAAATAGACAAAAATCCCAACACTTACAGGGCATTTCACTTTAAAAAAAAAAAACAAAATTCTGCATTTTTAGAAAACTGAATAAAAAACAGTATTTCAAACTGTACACAGTTATCAAAAATGCACACACTTCACTTGGCGTCTCCAGCGCCTTCGGCTTCCCACGCCTGGTCCGATTTGGCATCTCCATTTTCTGCAGGGTTATCCCCTCATTGCCAGCAGCAGCCGTTCCCTTTATCCTTTGGGTGCCTTCTCTCCCTTCTCTGCAGGGGCTCTGGCTTTGGAGGAGCAGGTTTGGCAGACAACCTTGCGGATCTTCTGTGTGTTTCGCCTTTCACCTTGGCTT